GGCTCAAGGCCGGGCTTGAGATGAAGTCAAGCCTGAGCCCGGCCCGAAAGCCCAGGCTTGGGTGCACCAAATGTGTTGCCGTTCCCTGGGCTCAAAACATGGTAAGAACGACTTTATATATGCATATGAGACAAAACGTTGACTTACCAGACGAGGCGATCCCTGCTAGTGTGACTAAGCGCGATTGTGCGCCGCCGCCTGGCGTTCTCCGTAGGCGCCCCTTCGCGAACCTTGTCATAACATGGCTCGTAGCGCGGTCGCATGCCCTCTGGAGGCTGAAGTACGGTGAGTACATGCAATAGTAGCCTATCACATGCAAATATGCTCACTTTTGTAGCATACAAATACTTATCCTAAGCTTGGCAAGCCCGGGCTTAAGCCCACGGCTTGGGCCGGGCTCAGGCTCGGCTCGGGCTCAGGGCTCGGCTCGACGTCGCCACAAGCCCAAGCCCGGGCTTTGAGCCCAAGCCGGGCCCGCACATCACTACTCGCAACCGTTCACCATGATCTCACTATCCGTTGTCTAAAACTCGCGCAAACCAATGTGAGAGTCTGGTTGCAAAACCGAAGGTATACAAGTGCACGTACGTGCACGTGTACGCGCAAGTGAACGAGTTTTCAATTGAACCGAGAACGAGTTTCTGAATTGAAGCGGGAGCGAGTTTTAACCGAATCGAGAACGAGTTTCTGATTAAAGTGGGAACGAGTTTTCGATCATATTGATAGCGAGTTTTCGATCAAACCGGCGAGCGAGTTTTCAATCAAACTGGGGAGCGGGTTTTTGATCGAGCAAAGAACGAGTTTTCGATCGAAGGAGGAGCGAGTTTTCGATCAAACCGAGAGCGAGTTTGCGATCCAAAGTATCCGAGTTTTGTTTCTGGTATACGCGAGTTTGTGTCTAGCCTACGCGAGTTTCTACCTAGCCTACGCGAGTTTCTGTCTAGCATACGCGAGTTTCTGCCTAGTCTATGCGAGTTTCTGCCCAGCTCATGCGAATTTCTGTCTAGCATATGCGAGTTTCTGCCTAGCCTATGCGAGTTTCTGCCCAGCCCATACGAGTTCATGACTAGCTCACGCGAGTTTCTGTCCTGCTGGTGCGAGTTTAAACGGTGGAATTTTCACCTACGCGCACGCTGGTGCACAAACGTGCACAAGTGTGCACTTTTGCGCAGGCATGTGCACCGCTACAGACGCCTAGCGAGTTTAGCATGAGCGAGGGCGAGTTTTATGCCGGTATGGCGAGTTTTTTGCGGGAAAAGTGCACGCACGTGCACGTTTGCGCACCTCATCGCACTTAAGTGTGATAATGTGCACAAAAGTGAATACAGTCTCACGTTTGTGCACATATCCTCACTAGTTGTCAATCACGCGCAGCGAGTTTCTGCACTATGCTGCGAGTTTTGATTTTTGTCCATGGTAAATTGTGATACCTTTTCAAGTTGATGAATATACAACTTTACGAGGATGCAAACCCTGATGCTCTTTTCGACTCGGATATAACCTATGCGCGTGATATCTATGTGCTTGGAAAGGCTCAGATGACCATTATCAGGTACGACGCCTTTATGCGGTACACTGTACAGTGATGGGGCTTCGAGGCAGTGCCGAGCAGTTTCGGAGGGTCTGCGATGCAACGAACCTGCGAGCTCGCAGTCGTCGAAGCGCCATGACTGCTATAATCTTTCAAGGCGTTAAAATGTGGACATTATTGACCGTATCACGCAACTGGCCGCGAAGACTCCGAAGCTATGTGGTGCGTTCTTGGCGCTGTTCAATAATAAGTGCTCGGCTCCCCAAGATTCCTGACGACGCAAATATAGCATACTAATAACTCCCCGCGCAGCATTTTTATCGCATCTTCTTCACATCTTCAGTTCGCGATGGCTTGAGTTTTAAAACTTTCATGCTAAATGGCGGTCGGGCTCAACTGCGGTGGCTCTATGCCGAGATCATCGTCACAAAATCATCAACACCACGATCTAGACTGGCGCCCTGACTGGTGGGTCCCTTCACCTCACTCGCGCATGTGCGCTCAGAACAGCGGTCATTTAGGGTTCGTAGCGACGCGCGACCTTGTGCTCTCGGCAACAGCTTAATCACGGGTACTGCGCCTGTGCCGCACTCGTGGTTGCGAAGCGCTACTGAATTGCGTTCATTGTGGGCCTAAATAGTCGGGTCCGAATATTGAACGGGTGTATGGACTGTCTAAATGCCACCGGCTACGCCGAGCGTTGCCGAGCGAGTCTGTGATGTGGCGCACGGCGTCGGTCACGGTTAGACTCCCCCTTTTTACGAGAGCACCATAAACAGACGAGTCGCAATGACGTGCGTTATTTGGGAGGCATAAGTCATCTGGTCAGTGGTTGATACCATTACTGGAGCCATGAGGTTGAATGGTGATGAGAAACCGGTGGAACGGTGTCGCAACGATTCCGCACAGCAGTTCGACACCAAATCCGCCTGCACTTCTTCCCGGCATGAATCATATCCGCGATCGCCTACTAGACCTCAAGAGAGATAGCACAGCAAAGTGTTAGATAGTTGCGCCGGCTGGGACTCTGTGCAAGCTGCTGGGATGGGTCCGAAACGAGGCCGCGTCTCAGCTGCCCTACTTACGGAGCTTGTAAAGCCCGTCTGCTGTATTCACATCCGTTTTAGCATCAAGGTAACCGTAATATCCGCGTCTGGAGGATGCATCGTATAACATATGGCTCTTATTTGGTGTTCTGCTATCTTGATACATAGCAACGGAATACAGTCAACTGAGCTGATACAGAGATCTCATCTATGGACTGTACTAGGCTACGGACATGCTGTAGTATATATTCCTCACAGACCGGTCCATTGCTCTGCATCGACCTACCCCCATCTCCTCACCACGGCCAACATGGGTCAGTCATACAGCAGTCCACTACAGCAAGAAATTCAGCAAAGGTATAACTCCCCTCTCTTCTCCCTTCATAATCCATGCCCTCCCACTGACACCCTTCACATGTATTTAGTAAGATAGGGAACTGTGTGGCATTATCGCTTGTCTGTGTGTTATGGTATTGCTGAGCTCGAGGAATACCGGTCAAGCCTACTCCTCTTCTATCAGGCCTCCAGATGTACGAATATATCGTAACATTGGACCAAGAAATCGCTGTGGTGTGGAGGAGAAAGTTTACAGCGACATCGCTGCTACTGCTAGGCACTCGGTGGCTCATGCTTTTGAATGTGGCTTTCATTTTTACGCCGGTGACACTAGCTGCGTGTAAGACTACTTATGCTGCTCAACTGAAAGATGATTATACTGACCAGCTTCACCCCACCGTATTATTCCTCCAGGTGTATCTCTCTCTCTTTCACAGATAAATTTCTGACAAACCATCACACTTATCACAAGCTGCAAATTGAACATCATAGCCAACAACCTGATATATGCGGCAGGTCTCATTTTGGTACTATGTGAGCACACCTGTTATACACTGATGGTTCTATGACCTATCTTGTCAGCAGTATTCTCCTCTCTGCGTGTATATGCACTCTGGCATGAGTCAAGGATGAGATACCTCTTCTCTGTCATTGTTCTCACCCTTGGTGCAGTTCCCATTGTCACGAACATTGTGCGCCACACCTTTCTCATAATACAGCTGTAAATTGACCACACTGAATTTCATGTAGTTTGCCTGGACACACGAGATTATAATAGTTGTGGATCAAAGCGCGGTCTTTATCGGTCCAGTTTGCGCCAGCGTGTTCAACTTTTCTGCAGGGCTCAACACAGCGTGAGTTGTGGGATTTAACGGCGCTGTGTTGTGTCCTGATAACTTTCCTTAGGTGTACGTCTTTCGTATTTTGGGGTATACTTGTGCATTCAAGTGATACATATTCATGCAGTGCTTGCCCTCACAAGAGGCAGCGCAATCGCTGCCGACATTCTTGTTCTGGTGCTGACATGGGTGAAATCATTCAGGCAGTTTCAAGAAATGCGACGGCTCAGGCTGGGCTCGTCGATTTCTGTTGTACTGCTCCGGGACGGTATGCATCCAATGTTAATTTTACTCGCTTTTCTACAATGTGACTCCTGGAATGCTAATACAGGCACAATTTATTTTGTGTGAGTTGAATGAACTGAAGCAGCTCAATGATCCCCTCTAACACATAGTCCTCAAGTGCCCTTCTGGTCATAAACATCCTGCAGCTCCTGACATTTTCGAACAATTTTGCTGCTTTTGTGAGTAGTCATATGCATCCTTACTCCAGAAGGGTATAATTATATCGTTGCAGGACGACCATGCAGACGTTCTTCTCCAGTCAATGGTAAAAAATTTGCATATCCTGAGGAGAGCCATGCACACTGACCATACACTGTTATATTCAGCCTCTTGTGATGACGCAACGCTTCATCCTTAACCTCCGCCAGCTTAATCACACCTCAAGAAGCAGCAACTCGGATGCACTGCACTTCTCCCGCTTCTCTGTCAATTTCAGAATTCCCTCTGATTTTCTCGGAAACATTGGAGAGCCCTTAGAGCATGGGCAGTTGGAGGTGATGCTAGAAGGTGGCGATGGTGCAGAGGAGGAATTGGAGGACGGACCGGACAATAATCCGCTGCAGCAGGTGGGTGCATCATGATTATCGTCCATGCGCTGGGTTAATACAAGGGGAATTAATATTGCTCAGCAGACGTCACAGCTCGCCGCTGAATTAACAGAAGCATCAATAAACAGCGCATAGAGCGCGGCAATTGCGATGCGATGCAGTGCATCGGCTCTTCATGAAATCTGGACGCATAGGTGTGCTTTCAGCGTTGGTTGATTCTAAGTACAGGTCTAGATATAAATTTTGCAGTTACAGAGCGATCGAGCTATATCGAACGCGTGCTTTGAATCGTTGGCTTCTTGACTGTGGCATTGGCATTAATTTATTAATTTATTTTTATTTTTATTTTGTGTTGTACATTTACAGTGCCTCGGCCCTTATTGTACTTTCATTCTGGTTCTGCTAGCGTGATCTATATCATACGTGAAATTGTACTAGATGGTCACTTGCAAGGGTCCATACAAGGCGTGGCATGTCACGCCATTGAATCTCTTGATATTAAGTGTGGTTGGCTGCCAGGTCAACAGCCTGCGAGTAGCCTGGCGGTGTCTTCTCGGCGGGTGGATGTAGTGGTCCAAGTCTCAGTTTGTGATCCACGACTTTGCGGCGCGGAAACTCTGAGGACAGGCTTGTTCTAATGTTAAGACTTTGGTACGCCATGCAGTGGCCACGCTATCATTTTGACACCTCCTATCTAAGACGCGCACGACTTACATCACGCAACGTGAGATCTACCTTCCTCCAGAAATACAGCGTAGAAAAAGTAGAGGTGCGTTACTGTACAGGTGGTAAGCGGCTAGCCAACGCAGACCACAACTTCCGCATGACCTCAGTCAGTTAGACTGCTCGCGGGGACCATGGTCACGATTCCATCGACGGTGGCCCACAGGTGCTCGTCCTCGGCGTCGACCACCCTTCATACCGGTCTTCATACGGCCAGGCTAGCCCCGAGCCTGATTGTGACGCGCCTAAAGCGCCTCGGCGCCAGCCACTGCATCTCGTCGTCGAGAAGTACGCGCGTGTGAGCGACAGCCGGAGGACTCGCTACACTGTCTTGACGCCCCATGATTTAATATGTGCGTCTTTCTGTTCGAGAATGTCGAGTGATACTGAGCCCGCCGAATGCAAAGCTAGCGAGCTACTGCACCTTCCGTAAGCCATCGCATCGCAGTTGCTGAACGTACGTCAACTCACTACCACAGACACCCAAAATTCTTGCTTGTCCTCCTTTCGTCTGAAGAAGTACACGACCAACTGTCCAGGCCACCGTTGATATCACTGGCCCGTCCCGCAGACCGGCTCAAGCTCTACGCTGAGGCCCTCGATTTCAAAATCTGCACTCTTCGGGGGGGGGGGGTCGCCTGCGCAGGCACGCAAGGTGCAGAAAAACAAATGAGACGTCACCGTCTGGCGCGCGGACGGTGCAGAGCGGACGCTGTGGTGCGCCCATCTTCTGTAACAGCGGCGCACACGGCTGCGGGCTCTACTACCTGTTTGTCGTGCACGGCGAAGATACTGCACCGGCTCGCCCGTCCGCGCCCATGTCCTGCTGGCCGCAAATTCTAATCGGTGGCGATGCGCCTGTAGATAGCGGCACGTGCCGCAGGATTATCGACGGAAAGATAAAAGTCAAGTCCGAGGTCGTGTGGCGTCGCGCCTAGCGACGAGAGTAAGCTCCATGTGGGCGCCGTTATCGTCGCTAAAATGTGCGTGCTGTGCCACCCGCCGTTCTCGATGAACAAGCCTCTTTTTTGTGCGTGTTAGGTTCTATGATGTGCGTGCCGAACCGCAAGCTGCTCGGCGAGGCCATCAGCGCGGCAGCCTTCAAGCCGTCATGTTGTAGCTTCTGATATGTCTGCACGGCGAAGTGGACGAGAATTGCGGAGAAAAAGACCATCTGGATTCGCAGAACTCAATGAGCGGCAAGAGCACAATATCTAGTCAAAACACGTACAAAAAAGTAGCACGCCAGACGACCCGGAAGACGGCCGCGTGATCGAGCGTGAGGGATGCGCCCTCGATGGTCTCTGATGTCGTCTACAGGGTGTTCGCGCGATATTCTTCTGCGGACGAGATGTCGAGGCTGCATTTGGACTTGAAGTGACTGCGTCAGTTAGGGAACGACGGACAAGCTGGGAGTGGACGTACCTGCCAAACGTTCGCATGCGCAGCCTTGGGTCAACGAGGGTGACCCACGAGCGGCTGACTCTGCGACGGACGCAGCTTAGTGCTGGAACTGAGAGACAGATGTCCAAATATTGTGCGGCGGATGGTTTATTCCGGACTGAAAGCACAGTGGGCGGCTGGCGGGTGTGCTCGGCCAAAGCTGAGACATGGGACAGTGGTGTACTCACCGGCTCCTCAACTACGGTGATAACAGGTATCTACAACATAAAATGAGCATTTGGCCACTTTCATCAAGATCGAAGCACGTACGAGAGCGCGGCTTCCAGAGCATCAGAGGGCAAAAAATGAGCAGGCGGGTGCAGAGCACTCCGAGTCAGAGACCCGTAGACGGAGTTATAAGCCCGTGACTTGCAACTTCGGCGTTTGCCAACCTCCAGCGATAACCACCGGTGTTTGCCGGTGGTCATTGGTGTTCGCTGGTGGTCCCTGCCATATACGGGCACATCGTCGTGGGCGCTACTGAACACCGCCGTTCGTTGTCCACTGGAATCCACCGTAACACAGTGGCAACTGGTGAATACCACTGTAAATCAGTGGCAAGCAGTATAGCACGTTGGTATATATTGCTATTCAGCATGCCACACTGGTTGCCACTGGTATTTGGTACAATCAATTCACACGGCGGGTGGTGGCCACCACCAAACACTGGTGGCATACACTGGTAGCAGCCACTATTCGCCATCGTATGCCATCTATTGCTGATATGTGTTGCTTACTAGTGATTTCTGGCACTTCTCGCTGGTCTTCGGCAGAGGTGTGTGACACTATGTCACAGCATGTGACGTGCTTTCCGGGTTGGGCAGACTCTCGTAAAAAACCAATTTAAGACTAGTATCTGGCAAGTCTGGTCTCTCATTTTGTGCATAGATGGCTCATATTAGGTATACTCTCTCTCAGAAAATATATTTCTTACAAGAATCGCCGCAGCAAGGTTTGCAGCTGTCGAAATGTTGATGTGACCACTAACTGGCCTCCAGCTTCACAGTTAATTCCTCGACTCGCAGAGAGTTTAGAGGATGTCTCAGGAGCCCTTAACTGAGTCTGTATAGTATTGTATATTCGTCAAAAATACTTACATTAGTACTGAACGCGGTAAGCCCAAGGATTTCACCTGAAACTGTGACCAAGTGACCCGGAGGTAGATACCATTTAAAGGGGTCGCAACAGGAACTCCTTTTCCTTCGTG